GGATGTGTCCAAAACTGTCGCTCGATTTGGAGCACCAGCGTAGCCTCTGACCATACACGTGTCTGCGCCGACCGGATGCGTTTCGGTGGACGTCGCAACGTCGATGTGAACGGATGGACACAAGCCAGCTGGCGAAGCCAGGTGTTCTAAATGTGTATCAAAGTGCGCTGACATCCGGGCTGAGTAAGCGCCCACTGAACACCGTCGAGATCACCGGTCGCATATTCGTCAAACGCTACTATCAGCAGGCATGTCCTCATGTGGCAAATCAAATTGCCGAACTGGAAATTGGGTCTCTACACAGTCTCCGGAACTTATGGATGCTCGCCGACGTATTCCGGCTGGAAGCGAATACAATGAGGCTCGCAGAAATCTCAGGGCAAAACTACGAGCTAGCCTGAAGAAAGACCTCGAAACCTGGTGGTATCATCTTGACACTGAGATGGAAACAGTCGCAACCGTTGGCAAACATTATTCCGTGTGATACGGGAAACAGGCAGCAGAAGACCTGGTGTTAGCGAAACCATACGCGATGAGGGTGGACATCCAATCCACAGCCTGTCGAAACGCCTGGAGGGTTGGGCCGAACACTGCAAAGCAATTTAACCAACCTGAGTTATCGGTTTCTTCTTCGGGCATTGAGCGCCCTTCTCTCTGGGCCGTCTCCTTGGATCCGCCCTCACGCGCAGAAGTCGAACGTGAGATCAGACTGTTGAAATTGCATAAGGTCGCAGGGGCAGATAGGATACCCCAGCCCTCTTCAAATTCGGGGGACCTGCTCTAATAGATGATTTACTAGTAAAACTGGGACCAGGAGACTGTCCCGACAGACTGGAGCCGCTAAGTCATTGTTCCAATTTTCAAGGGAAGCTCCAGTTCGGAATGCGGCAATCATAGAGGGATCAGTCTGATCTCAATTGCCTCTAAATCGCTTGCGCCTGTCATTCTTCACAGACTGACTGGCACTCGTGAAAGCCAGATTCGTGAACAGCAAGCCGGATTTCGTCGAGGTCGGGGCTGCAACGACCACATCTTCACCTTGCATCAATAGTTGGAACACTGCCATGTTTAATGGCGACCCACCGTTGTCGTGTATCTTGACATAAAAGGTGTCTTCGACTCAGTCGATCGATGTGCCCTTTGGGACTGTCTGCTGAGGAAAGGTTTGTCCGATAAATAGATAAATATTATCAAAGCGCTGTACTCGCAAAGTTCGGACAGAGTGAGGGTTTATGGCAAAATAACACCGCTCTTCAATATTTTCAGCTTTGTGAGACAAGGCTTCCCGCCGTCATCATTCCTCTTTAAGTTCGCTATTTACGAAGTCATGGAAACAGCGTTCGCTGGACACGACCTAGGTGTGGAGCTACTTCCTGGTGAGCGATTTCTTGACTTAGAGTACGCGGACGATATTGCCCTAATCTGTGACAGCTGCCAAACATGCCAAGCAGCACTAGACCGATTAGCACTGGCTGTCAATCATTTTGGATCATGCTTTGCTCCATCGAAATGCAAAGTACTTCTCCAAGATTGGCAAGGACCCACCCCTGCGCTAACGCTTTGTGATGGTCTGCTAGAAGTCGTTCAGGAATTCAAGTACCTGGACAGCTATATTAGCACCAGATGGATCGAAAATGAGGTTACGAACCGCATGACAAAAGCTCGAGATGCTTTTGCCAATCTCCGCCACCTGTGGCGCGGACGCGACATTACCCTCGCCCCGAAGGGCAGAGTTTATAACGCAGCCGTCCGTTTAACTCTCCTGTATGGTTGTGAAACCTGGCCCATCAGATCGACAGACATAAAGAGGCTCGTCACTTTCGATCATCGCTGCCTTCGTAGCTTAGCTCATGTCTGGTGGGAGCACCGCGTGAGTAATGAACGCGTTTGGCGTCGCGTATTTGGTGCAGGAAGAGCAAGTGAACCGCGCAGCACCATTATATCACGCCCCAGGCTCCGATGGTTGGGCCACGTGTTGCGCATGCAAGCACACCGACTCCCATGACGTTCATTGTTTGCGCGCCGGGGGTGCGGTTGGAAGAGGAGAAGGGGAGGCCAAGAGATGACTTGTTCGAGAGAAATGAAAACCCTCACTTCGGTTGGTGCATTCCGACTGCCTGGCTGGGGTCCTAAGGACGATGAACACTTGCTGATATGGCTAGGAGCAGGCCACAGTAGCATTTGTGTTGTGAGTACCTTTGTCCATCCCACTCCCGCTTAGCTGCCCCTCCAATCATGAGCGCATTCGTTAGGCATAACATAACTTTTGCGGCACGACAGCAGGCTGTTAGCTCTCCGGAACGATGTCCATCCGTTACTGGGGACTCAGCCGGCGTGCCTCTGTTGTTTCTTCTCTTTGTCCTTTGTATTGCGGCACAATAGCTGAGGTGTTTTCTACTTGCAGCTAACGTGTATAATGATGATGACGATGTATTTGGTGCAGTAGGAGCGAATGAACCGCTCAGTGCCATTATATCACGCTAGCTCGCCGCGTGTTGCGCATGATCGCACACCGACTCCCGTGTCGTGCGTTGTTTGCGCGCCGGAGGTGGGGATGGAAGGAGGGGTGACCAAGCGATGACTTAGTCAAGGGGATGAAATCCCGCACTTCGAACTTGGCGTCGGTTGGTATGTCCCGACTGCCTGGTTGGAGTTCGAAGGATGATGAGCACATCTGGTTGGATACAGTTGACATGGCAAGGAGTTGACGACAGTGACATTCATATTGTTAATTTTTTGTCCCTCACCATCCCACTTATCTTTCCCTCCAATTACGATCTGCCCCTTGATGTATTATGTTATTAAGTAGCAGGTTGTCTGTTTTTCGCATTCAATAATTTTCAGTATCTTGCTTATCGTACGTCATATATTTATGTATTGCGGAACAGCGTATCACCCAGCGACCAACGGATTAGTTGGACACATCCATAGACATCTCAAAACTCGCCCTATGAAGTTGTTTCGTTGTAGCATCAAAGTGGACTTGCAATGCGCACCAACAGAGCTGGTTTACGGCACAACATGTTGTCGGCGGAATTAGTTTTACCTTCCACATAATCATACAAGCCTCCGTCTGTTGTGTACTCCCTTGGGCAACGCATGCGTCCACTACGCCCCACCCATCTTCTTGAGCAGGCCAGAGATGTACAAATGCACGCGTCTTCATCCGCACCGACGCATTGCGGCGCTACCTCCAGCCACCCTATATTGGCCATTTCAAAGTACTGCAACGAACTCCGAAGCACTTCAGTTTGGACCAGAGTAGTCGTCAAACAACGGTGTCAAGCAGCTGCCTCAAAGTGTTCCTCTTTGGCGACCCATTTCCTGAGGCGTTCACACAAGCACCGGTAATTGCGGCAAGTTTTCGACCAATGAATACACGGGAACCCTCTGTTCTCCTAGACTCTCCGCCAATCCGGCCTCAGCGCCAGGCAACCGACCGTCGCAGCAGACAGGTCATAAATTCCAGAATCCCTTGTCATTTTCAGTAACACGCGTGCTATTCATATCTAGCGATAATCGTGCGTTTAATTCAAAAAATCGACAAAACAAAGCAGTTTGAAAAACCCACATTCCCAATCTTCTGTCCACTATTTGTGAATTCCCAACGACCCGAACAGTCAACGCAATCATTGTGATACTCGTCGCTGATCACTGACGGCTAAAGACCGGATTGGTCCTCAAGTATTTGGCTACATGATGCCGAGGAGGATGCTCAGATTTGTTCGTAGAACGAGTATCGTTTTGGCTGTGGACTGCGGTGCAGTGGGGAGAACGACACTTCCCAAAGCACGGTAAGGTCAGTCGAAAATAAATCATCAGCAGTACGCAGGCACACTGTACCGACGCTTCGCTGCCACGCTACAACCGCCGGTCGCGTGTGAGCTGAGTAAACCGCGAGAACGCCCGCCCTTATGCGGATTCGAACCGGTGACTTAGGGATTGCAAACCAAGCGTGAAATCCTTTAGGCCATAAGGTGAGGAAATGCCACGTCGGTCTATTTACTAGACTAGCCAGTTTACTGCAGACCGATGATGCACTCCAGCCCACAGCCAAATAATAAATAACAAATAAGCCTGGACCCAGCGAACTCTGCAACACACCGCATTTTGGAATCCCGTGTTCAACCCAAACTGGTACCCTCCGTACACACCATCACTTCCCGTTTCCTTGACAGCTATAGCGAAGCCTCCCATCACAGGCTTCTAGGGTAAGGCCCTTGTACTGAACTTGAATCATGTGGTCTTTCAGTGTTTCACAACTGTACATTAGTTTTGTTGATTGTACATCCCATAGACACTTTCTACCCGGGGAGTGTGCGCTAGGCTGCTCCTCATTCTTGCTGATTCGCCCACAATTCCTTGTAGTCCACACAATTTACGTTGAATCCAGCGGCATCTATCTTCCCTACGGTACCGCACTTGGTAAGTCTCTTACAAATCATCGCTATTGGACAGTATGCGAGGCGCACCCAGTGGATTCCGTGGAGGATAATGTAAACAGTTGGTACCGCTTGATGAAGACAGGAGCCTAGTTATCGAAGCAAGATGGCAATGGAGAAAGTGCTTCTCTGTACACCAGTGATTACATTCAGTGGAAAATGAGGAATGAAGTGCTGATGGAATTTTGAGAGGTAAACCAGTCAAGAAGTAACGCAGTGTGACGACGCAAGAACAGCTAATTAGCCTAAATGAACAACAGTTGGGGGATGATTGTTGCAGACAAATGCTATGAGAAAGTCGTCTCCGCAACTCGCGAAAATAATCCGAACCTGGAAGCTGCGGGAATTGTTTTCAGACTAAAGAATGGCTTGTCCATACGCACTTCGTGCAGGTCACAAAACATTTTTATTGTGATGGGCGTAGAGAAGTAGGGTTAGAAAAAGAGGAGCGTGACTACGTAATGCTCTGCTGTTCGGAGAAGTTCGATACGGAACTTTTAGACATCGAATTCGGAGTTTGTGTTGAAACTGTAAAATAAAAAGACGATGGGAACTAACCTTTTGAGCAATATCGGAAAACCATACCTCCGAAAACTTAAGAGTAAGTACGTATTCTCCATCCGCAGGATAGGGTACGGTGTATGAAAAATCGGAAGTGTCGTATCGCTCTGTTTGATATAAAATCTGATCCTGCATCGGAGCCCCAACGATTGTAAACGACCGACCATAGTCAGATGAACTACCCTTGAGCAGTGGGTCGGCCATGTATTCGATACCATGCACATCCACGTGAGGCGGACCTCCACAGTTCACGGCCCACACAACCTCAGAGTCAACATGATGGTAACAGAGTGCATGCAAAAGTAGCTGAGGCAGAAACAAAAGGATCCAGTCGTATGACAGAATCATTGATCGTGACCGCGCTGTGAATAAGTAGAGGTAGAAATGAGCCTGAGATTCACAACAGAAGAAAAAAAGCTTCACAGTCCATGTATTCATTGGGGAGAACGGAGTATCAATGATATCAATTCCCGTGATTACACTGCAAGTAGTACAGCAAGCAGACAACAAAACTGGGAACTGCATGGGAATGGAATGAAAGACAATCTTCTATAGGCTAGTCAGGGAAAGCTCGCAGAATGACAGGAATGAAAACTTGGAGTCACTGGACAACTTTGACTAACGCAGGTAAATTGAGGTCAGTTAGGAAATAGAAATCCATCGCAACGAGGCTGGACCTTACCGTGGTGCGATGGTTTGTGTACCTCAGCGATCCATTGAGCTATGCTGGGCGGTGCTTTTGCACCTTCAAAATCACCCATACAAGATTGGTCAATGGTTAGAGGCCAGATAAACTCAGCCTCCTGGTCCTCCAGGTTGCGGGTTGGAATGAGGATGGCTCCTTATTCCTTAAAACATCAAACCCGCTACCTTGCGGTCAGGTTTTTGAACCAAATGCTTTGGTTGAGAACCCTAATCGTTCTCCTGTCTAGGCCTGGGCAACCTGACAGTATCCTGCCCACGCAATACAATGAATCTTTCCTCAAACAATTTCTTGATGCTCTGGCCACCGCACAGGATAATCAACTGTGCCCTATCTGCTGCATCGAGCAGGTTGCATAGGAGTTTGGATGCTACTGCACTAGCCTTCCCGTCTTCTTATCCCCCCTCTTACGCTTTTTCACTCTTACTATCCCGTTCCTACTTCACTTTTATCCCCAATGTTTTCAACCCCCCGATTCTTGGCCCTCCCCCAACATGCTTTGCTAGAGGTTTATCATCTAATTTCAACTCGCATGGGAACGCAAAGCGTCACTCCTCTCCTGTCGACAAGCGTATGTCCAATCAACCAGTCCATTCCAGTTCATCGGCTTCCATTTGGAGCCCTCGATCCTCCTTCAGACCGGCATGCCTCAATGTACGCACATTACTACAGATCGGTCAACAGGCAGCACTTGCCCGAACATCGGAGAGCCTCTCGATCGATATCTGCAGCATATCAGAGGCCAGCCTGCAAGACTCGAGCTCTGTACTAACTCTGCAATCCCCTTCAGGTGACGCTAGCAGCACTTTCTCATTGCGCCTATCCGGTGACGATGCAGCTCCGAGCACCGGCCAAGCTGGTGTTGGCATTGCTCTGAGTCCCCGGGCTGAAGCTGCTCTGGTTGATTGGATTCCAATCAGTAGCCGGATGTGTGTGGTCCGATTGGCTGCCTCGTTCAAAGCTTCGAAGTCGAGCGGGAGTAATAGGTATCTATTCATCAAGGCTGCCTACGCACTTACAAACTGCAGCGATGATTCGGTAAAGAACGACTTTTACAGCCAACTGACCCAGCTCCTTCGCCATAGAAGAAGAACGGACAATGTTGTGCTGGCTGGGGATTTGAACGCGCAAGTTGGAAAGTTGTCCACCGATGAAATGCATTTGGGCGGTCAGCACGGTGTAGGCTCCTGTAATGATAACGGTGAGCGGTTACTTCATTTGTGTGAAGATGCTCGTTTATTTCTTGCGAGCACTAATTTCCGACACAGCACCCGCCGGAGGGTGACTTGGCGCCCACTAGCCTCGAACCAGCCTTGGACGCAAATCGATCACATTTCAATCAGTTACCGCTGGAGAGGCTGTGTCTATAACTGTCGCTCGATTTGGAGCACGTGTGTGGACACCAACCATGCACTTGTGTGTGCTGACATGCGGATGCGCTTTGGCGGACGCCCTCGAGGACGCTGTGAGCGCAATGACACCAGCCAACTGACAATGCCAGCTGCTCTGAATGCGTATCGAAGTACGCTGACATGCTAGTTGAGTAACCACTCAATGGAGACAATTGATGGTCACTGGTCACATGTTCACCAGACCTTATTAGCAACAGGCAAATCCTCATGTGGTATGTCTAACAGCCAACATGGTTATTGGGTCTCTTCGCGGTCTCTGGAACTTATCCATGCTCGCCGGCATATCCCGGCTGGAAGCGAACACAATGAAACTCGCAAACAGCTCCGGGCAAAACTCCGTGCTAGCCTGAACAGAGACCAAGAATCCTGGTGGTCTCATCGTGCGTCAGAGATGGAAGTGGCCGCTGCCTTTTGCAACCATCGTAAGTTATTTCGTCTGATACGGGAAACGGGCAGCAGGAGACCTGGTGTTAGTGAAACTATACGTGACGAGAGTGGACAGCCTATCCATAATATGTCAAAAAGTTTGGAGCATTAGGCTGAGCATTTTGAAAAGCAATTGAATCGGCTAGAATTGTTCGATTCGTCGCCGGCCAGTGATCGCCCTGCTCCGTGGGCTGTCCCTTTGGATCCACCCTCTCGCTCTGAAGTCGGACGTGAGATCGGACTGTTGAAGTTGAACAAAACCGCGGGACCAGATGATCTTCCTCCAGCCCTCTTCAACTTCGGCGGATCTGCTCTTGTGGATGATTTACACGAGTTACTAGTCAAACTGTGGGAGCAGCAAACTGTCCAAACCGACTGGAGCCGCTCCGTTATTGTTCCCATCTCCAAAGAAGGCTCGCGCTCGGAATGCGGCAATCATAGAGGAATCAGTCTGATCTCCCTCGCCTCCAAATTACTCGCCTCCATAATCCTTCACAGACTGGCTGGCGCTCGTGAAAGCCAGATTCGTGAGGAACAAGCCGGGTTTCGTCAGGGTCGTGGCTGCATCTACCACATCTTCACATTGCGGCAGTTGTTGGAACACCGTCAAAAATATTAACGGCCCACCATAGTCGTGTTCCTCGACATCAAAGGTGTCTTCGATTCGGTTGATCCATGTGCCCTTTGGAATTGTCTACTCAGGAAAGGTGTGCCCGAGAAATATGTAAATATTATCCGAGCATTATACACGCGTAGCATGGGCTAAGAGTGTGGGCTTACGGCAAGCTGTCGCCACCCTTCAATATCTCCAGCGGTGTGAGACAAGGATGCCCGCTGTCACCTTTCCTCTTCAACTTCGCTATTGACGAAGTCATGGAGATTGCATTTACAGGACATGACTTGGAAGATGTGAAGCTACTCCCAGGAGAACGACTTCTCGAGTTGGGGTATGCAGATGACATTGCCCTCATCTGTGACAGCTCAAAGACGTGTCAAGCCGCGCTGGACAAATTAGTACTGGCTGTCAGCCGCTTCGGACTTTGCTTTGCACCATCGAAGCGCAAAGCATTCCTCCAAGATTGGCAGGGATCGCCTCTTGCGCTGACCCTTGGTGGAGATCAGCTAGAAGTCGTTCGGAAATGCAACTACCTGGGAAGTTGTATCAGCGCCCTTGGGATCGAAGATAAGATCACGAACCGTATAGCAAAAGCTCGAAGTGCTTTTGGCAAACTTCGTCACCTATGGCGGCGGCGCGACATTACTCTCGTCTTGAAGGGTAGAGTGTACAATGCAGCGGTACGTTCGACCTTACTGTACGGTTGCGAAATCTGGCCCCTAAGGTCAGCGGACATAAAGAGTCTAGTAACGTTGGACCATCGGTGCCTTCGCAGTTTGGCTCACATCTGGTGGGAACACCGCGTGAGTAACGAGCGTGCTCGACGCCTTGTTTACGGCACAGGAAAGGGAACTGAACCGCTCAGCACCGTCATTTCACGCACCAGGATCCGATGGCTGGGCCACGTGTTGCTCATGCCAGCCCATCGACTTCTACGACGTGCGTTGTTTGCTCACCGAAGATGTGGATGGAAGGAGGGGTGGCCAAGCGATGACTTGGTCAAGAGGAATGAAGGCCCTCACTTCGGTGCTGGCCTTGTTTGGAGCGTCACGGCTCCCTGGTTGGGGTCCAAAAGACGGTGAACACGTTTGGCTGGATACACATACTCATGGCAAGGAGCCGACCTCAGTGGCGTTCCTGCTGTGAGTTTCTTTGTCCCTCCTCATCCCTCCACCTACGATCTCATTTCTTAGCGTAAAACATAATGATATTTCTTTTTGCCTAGTAGCCGGCTGGTAGCTTACCGGAACGATGCCTATCTGTTTCTGGTAGCTCAGCTGGCATGCAACTTTTGTATTTATTTTCCTTTTTCATTTATGTATTGCGGCACAGTAGCTGAGGTGTTTCCCATCTCTAGCTGACGTGTATAATGGATGAATGAATGAGTGGAGATCGAAGACCGCAGTGGCTTGCCATGAGGGACTAGAAGCGCGGAAGGGTAAACTAGGTGCAGTATTGTAAGATGATTTTTAAGACAGGTTGGGTGATAGGCAATGAAGAGAAAATAAATCGAAGAGATTTTCATGTATTCGTCCCAGCATTTCACATAGCCCAACCATCAAGCCGGAAAAGCATCAGAGGCGCGTTTTTCCCTATTGCGGCTCGTCAGTGTTGTGCATTTCCTCAGTCCCCTACTGGGTATGTCAGCTGCCTGCCGTAACGGCGCTTCGCTGCCGTGTGACCACCGCCAGTCGCAGGAAGGCTGAGTATACCGCGAGGACGCGCACCCCTACGCGGATCCGAACCCGCGCCGCAAGATTAGGAGACAATTTTGTTAACGCTAGGCTACGGGCCGACTTCCTACTGGGGATCGAACCCATGACCGCTAGAGGCTGACGTCAACTAAATACCAACTTAAGCTACCGAGGCATGAGGGACGGTGGTTGGGCTAGGTAATTTGCAAACGTAATCGAGGAGAGACAAACTATGACTTTAAGCGAACCAGCATCTGTCTGGTGCAAAATGGAGGTTTCTTCTAAACCTTGGATGCGTGAGGAGTTTGTGTGAAGAGGGTTAACCATATATCAAGGTGTGAGGGTAACCAGGAACTACAACTCCGCTGGTAAGTAAGATCATCATCATCAACAGCAGTACATCAACCATTTGAACTGATGCTTCGCTGCCATACAACCATAAAGACCTAGGAAATAAAGAATAAGAAGAGGGAGAGAAAGCGGACTTACCTGAAAACCTTAATGCCCTAAGCAAACATTCAGGGTCAAGGCGCCTACACCTTCTGTAGACAACATTCCGTCACAAACAGCTGACTATCGTGCAAAGGCGGCATCGGCGAGACAGCTTCCTTGCGGCTTTCACTGCCACGCGTCATAATCAGCCATTACCCCGCAGATAACTCAGCACCAAACACACTTTAAACAGACAATCCGATTAGGAGACGGCAGCAGACGCGCCACTGGTGTCTACTGCGAGCCATGTCCTGCAAAGTCTCGAGCCAAGCACAAGGTGAGTCACGTGGACTCCAACCCGGGAGGCGAGACGGACCAACGGTACCCAGTTTGGTCGTCAGTGACTTCATTTCCCGTTGCCAAGTCAACTTCTGTCCACCTCGAGCCTTGCGCCACCCTACACCTGGCAGACTAAACAAGGCCCTCCTAGGTAAGCGGTCCCTAGGCATACGTACCATGTGCCCAAGCCAACACAACTTATTCAGTGCTATCTGTTGTTCTAAGAAGCTAGCATGATTATCACTACCTAGTACTCGCCTACGCACATCATTGTTGCGGACACACTGGTGCCATCCGACACCAGCAATGCTACGCAAACAACGATGATCGAAGACTTGAAGGCGCCTCAGATCTTCAGACCGAAGGGGCCAAGTCTCACTCCCAAAGAGCAGAACGGCCCTCACTGTGGCCTTGTATACCCGGCCTGTCAGACGAAGGGAAACTCCCTTCTGTAGCCAAAGATGACGCTCATCATTGTGGACGCAGCAGCCAAGATAAGTGAAATGATCAACCACCTCGAGTTCCTCGTTAGCAAGCGTCAAGCGGTCATCAAGTGGCTGGTGGTCCTGCAGCAACACTTTGCACTTTAAAGGTGCGAAGTGCATACCGAATAATGGGACCACTCTGAACAGGCTATTCAGGGTTAACTGTGCCACCGCAACATCGCCGAAAAGCAAGACGATATCGTCCGCATAATCTAGATCAACTAACCTTTCACCAGGCAGCACTTCAACCCCTACATCGTGAGATTCCGCAAGGAAACACTCCATGATAGAATCCACGACGAAATTGAACAAAAATGAGAAAACCGGATAACGCAGACGAACGCCACTTGTAGTTGAAAAGCTATCCGATAGGACACCATAGACCCTGACGCGGCCTGTAGTGTTCGAGTATAGAGCACGAAGAAGGTTCACATATTTCGTGGGAACACCTTTCCACGCAAGTAATTCGAACAGAATCGATCGATCGACTGAATCGAACGCACTCCTGAACTCGAGGAACACAGCTATTGTCGGTCTGCGGTACGCGTGGCGCTGCTCTAGCACCTGCCGTAAAGTGAATATATGGTCTATACAGCCAAGTGTTGGGCGGAAAGCAGCCTGCTCTTCCCTAATCCGAGATTCCCGTTCTGCAGTGAAGCGACGAACGATAATCGAGGCCAATATTTTTGTCACAACTGGCGTTAGGCTAATAACCCTGTGGTTAGAACAGTCTGTGCGACTGCCCTCCTTGTATATTGCCATTATAATCTATTCGCTCCAATAAGCCGGGACTCTTCCTTCCAGACACATTCGAATAAGGAAGTCAGTGCTTTGCAGAGGACCTCAACTCCATCCTTAAATAGTGCAGGTGGGAGGGAATCCGGGCCAGCGGCACAAAAACGATTGAGGGCTGTAATCGGGTTTCGGACCTCGGCCGCCGACGAAGGCTCTAAACTAACCGTTTATGGCTCACCCTGCATCACCTGAGTAGGAAGACGTCCGAGAGCAGGAGGCCAGCTGAACTGATCTTCAAAGTGTTCAGCCCAACGAGCCATACGGCGCTCTTTATTGTGTATCAGTGCACCCGCGCTGTCTCTGATTTTCTCACGCACACCTGCTTTTCTGGGACCAGTGGTGCGGATAAGCTGGAAGAGCTTGCGGTAATTGCCTACTGTCCCTGCCTCATCAATTTCTTGAGCCCGACTGGTCCACCAGGCTTCCTTGTCAGCACGCATGCTCTGCTTTAGTTCACGCCTAATAGTCCATCTGGTCACATTGTGTTCAGAGCCAGCCGGGAGGTGTCTTCTAGATTCCGACCCCCCGGATATCCAGTGACTAGTGCGGTGACGATTGATAGTGCCACAAGCAGATGCTCCTGCGTCGTGCATTGCGGTCGAGATCCTATTCCAATGAAGCTCAGCGTCATGAGGACAAGACCGCGGAAGTTCAGTATGCAGTGCGTCTTGATAGGCGTGTCTGACCGAGGACTGAGACAATTTCTCAGTTGCCAATCGTAGGGGACACTTGGTGCGCCTCCCGGTAAAGTTCATGGAGAAACGTCAACGTACCAAAGCATGATCAGAGTCGACACAGGTACTCCAGTACGAGCGGCAATCCAGGATGGAACCACGCCACCTGTAACTTATGGCTATGTGATTAATTTGGGTCCATCGCTGGCCAGCTACAGGTGGACGCCAAGTTGCAGTTCGGCGCCCACTGTGTCTAAAAGCAGTGTTACTAAGAAACAACTGGTGCTCCGCACACAGTTGCAGCAGACGCTCGCCGTTGTCAGTCCTTTCGGAGTTAAGCGCACATTTACCACCTAGCTGAGCTTCTGAAGAGCTCACACGCGCTAATAGCGCTTTTATATCCTCTGCAAGTACTATAATATCTGAACTAGTAGCACTGCGTAATAGCGCATTCAGTTCGTGATAGAATGTGTCCTTGACAGCATTTCAACTGCAGTCGGTGGGAGCATAAACGGAAATCACAAACAAACAGCGCTTTGTACTACTTCGTGAATCAACCTTAGCTGATGTTGTCAAACGGGCTGCACATAAACGGTTGTTCACCGGAATCCAATCAACCAACGACGGATCAGCCTTGGAGCTGAGAATGATACCTACACCAGCTTGACCCGTGAGTGCTGCATTGGCGTCTCCGGGTGCGTGCAACCAATAACGAGAGGATAAGCCGGGTGCAGTTAATTCAATAATTCCGTTAGGGTCATTAATCCTAGTTTCGGACACACAAGACACCAATACCCAGTGTGTCCAAGGTGTGTGCGAGTGCAGCCTGCTGACATGTTTGTCTTAGAGTGCGAACATTGAATGTCGCCATGGAAACGGGACAGCGTGGCCTTATAAGAGACTTTTGCCGATAGGCGTCCGATAGGTGCTGTGGGATGGTGGCTGCAGATGGTTCTACTCCAGTGGCATTTCGGTTGCGGTCAATTAAGCTGGGAATTATAGAAGGAAGGTTAGTCATGGGGGAGGGGATGGGAGTAAGAGAAAAAGGTGGAAAAGAAATAGGGGAGGCGCTAGCAGTAGCATGTTTCCGCTTATCCGCCCTGCTGTATGCAGCAGATAAGGCGGCCCTTGATAATCTGCGCGACGGTCGATGCAGGATGAAGTTTATGTTTGAAGAAAATGTCATGGTTGTATGTGGGCTGGGATACTGCCAGGGCGCCCAGACCTAGACAGGAGAACGATTAGGGTCCTCATCCAAAGCCTTTGGCTCAAAAGCCTGTCTGCAAGGCAGCGGGGAGGTGGCAATGATTTAGTTTTACAGAAATGGACGCAACCCCATTTCAAACCCCCAACCTGGAGGACCAGGAGACTGAGTTTGTCTGACCTCTCACCATTGACCAACCTGGTAGGAGTAGTTCTCAAGATGCTTGGAGGCATCACCCAGTATAGCTCAATGGGTTAATGAGGTACGCAAACCGTCGCATCACGTCAAGGTCCAGTCTTGAATAATAAGTAAATAAGAACCACCAACGGTAAGCGCCAATAGAGCTTATTTCGTTAGCCAATATATCGGATAAACCAGACTAGCTATGGGATCCTATTCGAATCGGAAGCAACGCAAAGAAAGAAGAGTGCGAGTGGAAGCCGGAGACGGCGCGAATGCGCGCCGAGCAATTCAAACAATAGCATGCAGGCGAACGCAGACGGACACTTTAGATCCCCTGGGTACATAGTTAAACTAAATATCTTGAGAGAATTTGACCTCGCATAGTCGGAAACAAAGTTAACTTACTTATCATGCCTCAAGTAGACGGGATATTCGTCAGGACGATACACAGGCTCACCTCACCGGAAGAGAAAGTGTGTGACCCTTCGAACTTGATGAGGACTGTCTGTCACCGGCCAGTCTTCTGCAAGACAAGGCAAACCTAATGCAGCTGCTGAAGGAGCGCCAATGCGATCGGAACCTAGTGGGCTTCTACCGTGTCTTCTCCAGCAGTGCGGGAACGGTAAAACGGTAGGAGAATAGTGTACGGATACACTCAGTTTGCAAGCTGCTTGGTCCACATCAAACGTGATAAGGATACAGAATATGAAAGAGAAAGGGAACATGGGATGAAGATAGGCTATGACAACATGGTATCAAGAAGTGAAGTTGTCGCTTGCAGTAGAGAGCAAATGATAAAATACAGGATCGGAAACTTAACGTCTTTTGGGTTTCGAGACTTTTGCGTTGTGACAGTTTTCAGAAGGTACTGGAGTGAAATATCTTAAAATGCTATTAAGAGCAAAACACAACGCCAGCGTTCCAGGAAGCATCAGCTACTGAATCCGACAGTGGAACAGGAGCGCTCGGTTGGCAGGTTGCCACTTGGTTCGTCGATGGTCACAAGCGTCTTTGACGATTGGTTGAGGACGAAGGACTGAAGTCATCGTTCGATTCGGGTCCGACGTAGACAACTTTGAGACAATTGGCGGTGACAGTCCCTTGCTTACCGTTAAGTCCGATAACTAAGAAACGACTCTTACGCTGGATGACTTTGAATGGACCATCGTAATGTCGTTCGCGTGGTCTACATAGGCCATTGACGCGTATAAGGACAAGTGGACATTGATGATCTCGGGGAATAGAACATTTATGATGCTGTTCGTCGGTTGGTATGTAACGGTGCATATTCGTGGCCACTTGTCGAGTGTAGCACGCGTCGTAGCGAGGAACATTGGGGCTCTCGAAGAAGTCACCCGGTAGCCGTAGCTGCTGTCTATCAACTAATTCGGCAATGGGTATTTGCAAATGAGCCTTCGGAGCTGATCGGATGCCAAGGAGTGCCAGTGGCAAGATTTCTATCCAACTGAATGCTTTGACGACACTCAGAGAGGCTTTTAACTGACGGAGAAGGCGTTCCACCATATCGTCTGTTTGGGGGTAGTAGACTGTGGTCCGGATGCGTTGACAACCGAGAACCTTGAGTGGATCTTTGAAAGTAGAAGATACGAATTGCGGACGGCGGTTGGTAGTCACAGTGGAGCTACGCAACGATCGATGAATGCACGCTTCAGTCTCCGCAGACAACAAGAAGCAGGATAGCTTGGGACCAAATAGTAGCGAGAGCTCCCATAGTCAGTGTATAAGCTATGCGTCTGAACGGCGCTAATGGTCCCACAATGTAGAGTTGGAAGTAGACGAATCAAGTTGACACTAATGGGCAGCGCCTAATTAGATGGGTAACGTCGACGAACATTTGGTCGCTGGCAAGTTAAACAGTGGCTTACACAGAGACAGACGTTGCGCTGCATGTTAAGCCAGACGTACCTCTCGGAAAACAACTTGATTGGGGCCCGAACACCAGTAATCGCGATGTTGTGCGGCATATCGAAAACGGTTCGAAGAAATGCAGTAGGCACAAGTGGATATGGATGTCCAGTAGAGAAGTTGTTAGCAGACGAGGGGAGTGATTTTGAAACCCCCTTAGTCGAGGACGTTTCTCTGAACGCCATTAAATCTCGGTTTGCGACGCAGTGGCCATAGCTGACAGATTGATCGGTTGATTGGAGGTAGCCGAGTTTACTCATGAAAATGTTCTTGCGAAACACATGTTGAAGGTCCGACGAAAACTGAGAGACGAAATCCAAACGACGAACTTCAGTGGAGTGTCCAGGCAACCGCTTCTGGAAGGCGCAAATCAATGTGATGATTGCCTTCTGGGAGGTATCGGAAGTAGAGTATACAGCAAGTAACTCGCGGTCAAATGTGCCATGCTGCGTCTCAGTTGTCTGAATACGTCGAGAGGAGAATACCGGTGGCTGTCAGTTACCTTTGTTTTCCGAGGCGTCGAAGGCTAAACTAGTCGAGGACTTTGCATCGAAGCGATGCAGCATGACGGCGGTAGTTAATGCTTCCTTTCTCGCTCCAAAGGTGATAACAAGTTTGCAATTGCTATGTCCACACAGGGAGTCCGTGAACGGGTACATCAGCTCGGCGCCGCGTGACAAGAATCGACGATGGCAGTTGACCATGCTGATGAGAAAATGAATGGCGGTCAGTGTAGTTAGGCGACAGAAGTCACGATTCGCTTGAACTCTGTCATGTGTAGTTGGGAGGCCCTCGGAATTAAACTGGTGTCTGAAGTACTCTAGACGCGACTGCATGAAAATGCACTTGTCTAGATTGACGGTGAAGTGCGCTATCAACAGTTCGAACAGTATTCGTATGTGCGCTTGGTGTTGATCTTCCGATGAGCTTGCCACAAAAATGTCGTCGGTGTATGGATGAATTCGAGCCCATGTACGACGCAGTCGATGAGGCATCGAAATGTTCGCTGCGATGCGCAGTCCGAATGGCGTTAACAGAAACTCGTATAGTCCAAACGGTGTAATGGCAGCAGTCTTGGGGGTATCTGATGGTGGCCGCGATTCTAGAAAACGCGCGAGCCCCCCGAAGAAAACAATAATATCCTAGGTAACGGAAGAGAAACATCGTGTTGATGAACGCGCGATAAGCCCTACATGGTCGGTTTTATGAAGGAGCAAACATCAAGGGGTACTGGACGGTCGGACGATTCCAAACTCCAGCATGTGCTCGAATTGTGTGTGAGCAATACTGAGCTTGTCTGAGGTCAGTCTGCTGGCTTTAGCGAAGACGAGCGCAACCTTAGTAGATATATATTGCGGCGTGAGGCCGTTTGCTGGTGAAAGACAAAGAAGGTAGAAGGACTACTAGGGAATTGTCGAATAACGACTTGTCGACTGCCCGGAGCGATACAACGTCATTAGATTTTCCAGTGACAGAAAATTTCATATTCTTATCAATAAGCCGTCAGCGCTTCGCGTCGACAAGCAAATCAAAATGTTGTAGCAAATTCACCCCTCATAGGGCTCTGGACATCAGCGATGAGCGAGGCTTAGCTGAATTCCGCCAAGTCCACCGACAATCAACAGTCGCAGTGTTCTTGGACATCCGGGAGACATTTGATACAGTGGGTAGAGCTGCATTGTAGAACTGTTTAGTAAGGAAACGTGTGCCCGACAAGTCTGCAACCATCCTGAAGGAAATTTACAGTCATACATCTGGCAAAGTAAGTAGGCTTTCCTCTTCATTTGCTGTCATCAGCAGTGTTCGCTAAGATGGCTCTACTTCACCGTTACTGCAAATTTACCATCGAAGTCGTCCACAACTGTGGTACCGTGTTCGTCTCTCGAGAGATCCGCATACAGATTACGCGAATGATATCGCTTTTCTGGAAAACGAACCGTCCAGAGTGCTTTGAACAGCTTAGTGATGAATGGGTATTTCACATCAGCCAAATGTATATTACTACAGGACTGGCACATACCTATGCCTTCCCTTGTAGTGACCTGGAGATTCCCCCGTACGACTGTGCAAACTATTCTAAAATATATTAAAAGTATAGCTTTCTTATGTATCAGAGAATTAGGCTGTTTGCCTGTTGGAATGTTGTTGTTGGTGGTTCGCTGCACAAATGGATCAGCAATTTCCTTATTGATCGGAAGTGGAGAGTCCAGGTGGACAACCATCTAACAGACTGGTATCCATCGAGCAGCGGCGTGCCCCAAGGCACTGTACTGGGCCCGATATTGTTTCTAATCCATATAAACGATGTGCCTCAGCTACTACAATCACATTGTGCTTTGTTCACAGATGACTTGAAAGTGTGGAGAGTAATCCGCACACTCAATGATTGCGATTTACTTCAGCAGGATCTCGACCGCCTCTCAACATGGTCTGCAGAGGTTAACCTTCCGATCAACCCTGCCAAGTCGCAATTCATGAGGTTGGGTAAGTGTGATCACGGCAGAACGTACACAGTGGCTGGACAACCGTTGCATCCCACTCCTTTCGCGCGCGACCTCGGTGTACTCTCACGCTGCGACCTAAAGTCCATTGACAACACGAATAGGCTGTACCAAAACAGCCTTCGTATGCTTTGGGCCCTCAGGCGCAGATTTAGCACTTGGTCCGAAGAGATTGCCACTCGCCTCTTCGTCTCGATAATACGACCAATGCTAGAGTACGGCACTCCCGCATACTGTCCCATCACCCGGGGCGAAGTAGAAAAGCTTGAGCGGGTGCAGCATGTAGCCACTAGGCTGATTCCCAACTTACGAGGTATGCCATACGAACACCGATGTAAGAAACTAGGGTTATACACCCTATCTTATCGTCGGCTGAGGGTACAAGTACAAGTTCCAGTGGGACTGGAACAGTAGGACAAATTCCCGTGGATGTTCATTCCGTGGAGCGTCGTTGATCCAGGATATTATTCGTCCGCGATAACTGGAACCTAAGAGTCAAAACAGCACGCGCAAATCACACCACGCCTAATCAATAATTACCCACGCGACCTGCACTGGAAGTCCCCGCTGCACCGGTCACTTGAAATAAGAAACAGAAGTACAAAATTAATAAGAGCGTTAAGAACTAAAAAGTAACAGATGTAATAATTCAATAAGGCGAATAAGCTAAGATGTGAAGGGGAATGTTAAGAACTGAAGGCCAAGGTCGGTGTTGGAACTCCTTCACCGTTAGTGCCGATACCACGTTCTCCGGCAATGAATTCCAAGAATCCACCACTCGGCAGGGTAAACGAAAGTCCGCCCGATCTCCATCTGATCGAGGTTTGTGTAGCTTCATCGAGTGACATCGGAGCGATGGAAGCCGAGCCGGTTGGAAAAGCCCATAACTCTGGTCCGATTTTACCGATAAGCATGCGATAGTTCAAGATCAGGTTGGCTCGATGGCGACAATAATGCATTGAGAACATTCACAACTCAAGTAGTCTTTCGAGGTAAGAAACGTTTTATTGACCATGAATGCTTTTGGTTCCAACTCTCACCACCCTCTGCACTGACATCCTGTCCCTGACTAAGCAAGGTGGACAAGCCTGGATGCAATATCCTAAGTGTGGCTTGAAAAAGGCTGAGAATAACTTAACAAAGTTATCGCCCTTGATGGTTCCGAGTGCCCTGCGGATCATCCGCAAAGTGCTGCAAGTCTTGCAAGTAGCTCTTCTCAACTTCTCACTGAAGTTAAGTT